CCGCTTTTGATACAATTAATAAGTTAAGCTAAGCTTACGACATGCCTGTTTCAAGATGAAACATCTCCAATTAATGAATATAAACAAGTAAGTAAACGCGGATATTGCCGATCTATCGATTTCTTAAATATATAAAGGGCGCGTCAAAAAGTAAAAAAAAAAAAAAATCTTAAGAAATTAAATTTCAAACCAAAATAAAAAAAAATTCAAATTCAAAAAAAATATTATCAAACAAAAACTTAATAACAATGCATTCAAAATTACTTGCCCTCTTAATGATTATTACATTGTTTTGCGCTTATATGACATCTGTCAACGCACAGAGTTGTCCGGATCCAGCTCCATTTTGCGACGGTATTTGTTATTCTATTATTTAAAAAGTATTCTTGTAACTTTATATTACGTAAACTTACTTAAATTTATTGTAGGGACGGAGGTATGCATCTTTAATGAAAATACCAAGTCCTGCTCATGTAGCTGTTGCGACGATACCGGACGAAATTGCAAACAGAATTTTCCATAGTGTATTTTGTGAATTTCAAATATTTTTATTCTTTTAAAAAGATATCTTTTAGTATATAAATATTTGTTTTAGATGATTCATTTATTTAGTTTCAGTAATATAAAGATTGAGTATTATATCATTTATCTAATCAACAATAAAATTCTTTAGTTCATAAGTTAACTGTATAACGATAGAAATGATCATTATTCTGTATGTAACAATGCCCGAATGCGTAAAAAGATTTTCCCGAATCAAAAAAAAAAAAAATATGCGACTTATTATGCAAATTGTCCTCAATTTCAGGGTTGCATCCAATGAAAGAGTTATTACAGCTGTAACAATCTAGAACAATCATAAAACAATATTATATTTCGATTTACTAACTTAAAAAATTTTTAAAATGACGATAAAAAAAAAACTCGTTCTGCTTACCCTCCCGACCGTCAAAAATGGCAAATAAAAAAATAATCGCAGAAGCAATCACAACGAAGCCAGAGG